TAATTGCAAGCTCACTTACCTACATCCTTCTAGGCAGATGTTCTTCTAACAAAAATATATCTAAATAATTGTCTCCTTGCCTCTACAACTAATTCTATTTCTCCTGTTCAGCTTTAATTAAAAAACAAACCAAGCAATGCACGCCTTAAGACTTCATTTGGGACAGCTTTCGTACTGTTTTTTAAAACAATTTTCTAGTACAAAAATTTCAAATTCAAAAAATTTTTATACTAAAAAGTTGTTTTAGAAAGCAAGAAGAAAGCCGTCCCAAAAGAAGCCTAAATATTTAGGTGTTTGCATTATCTTTGGTTTCCACTTCTCTCCTCACACAAATTTTGCCCAAAATCTGCTAATTATGATTGTCTTAGCTTTTTAGGTTTTGTTTGGGACATCTTTATTACTAAATTTTAAGATAGATTTTTTGTATAAAAAATAAAATTTTTATACTAAAAAATTGCTTTAAAAAACAGGAAGAAAATCGTCCCCAACAAAGTTTTAACAAAAAACTATTGCTGATATCACGCTACTCTACATGAAATTATCATCTTGAGTAATGTACTTTTTCATGAAAATATATTCCCAATAGTCTCCACTGAACGACCCTTTTTCTCACCTCCACAGACCTCTTCATATATTACTCCACTGGGTCTTGTTCCATCAACAGCAGTAACCAACGCCATAGTTTCGTTCACAGGTAGCTTCTTATCGTCTTATAAACATCTTGAAATTCGAACTGTCACTGCAGCGACTAATATTATTTGGCTAGGCCGGTTGTTAAACCAATTTGGTGTTTCTGTTACTTCACCAATATCTCTTTATTGTCATAAGATCTCAGTCTTAGCACTAGTGAACAATCAAATTCTCCATGCTCGTACCGAATACATTGAAGGTGATTGCTACTTCATTCAAGATTGTATCAAACTTAGTGATTCATCACATTGACTTTCAAGATTAAGGTTTCGTTTGAGACGACTTTCTTACTGTTTTCTAAAACAATTATTTATTACAAAAATTTTAATTTTTGTGCTAGAAAGTTTCTTAAAGAACAGTAAGAAAGCAGTTCCAAACGAAACCTAATTTGCATATATCTTAGCGAAAATCTCTTGCCTCTTGGTTTGGTCATCTTTGAACCAAGCTGACCATTTTCACAACATCATCAGCTTGCGGGGAGGTGTCAATGAAATATAAAGCGGAGCTGCAGCCTTTCAATTATTTGTTTGCAGCTCTTCTTCGTAGAACCATCAACTCCCTTCATTTCTTATCATATATTTAAGGAAGATTTACATGCATGCCAATATTTAGCAATTCACATAGATAAATGAATATAAACCATCAAAATTAATTCCTGATATATCATCAAAAAATTATCTTGATCTGGCACGAATCTCGAGGCAAAATCAGGCCGGAAACTTTAAAAATTAAATTCGGTATCACCTGAACTCCGATTTCAGCAAACTTACAGTCAAACTGAGCGTCTCAGAAATACTAACCGAACGACACCAAATTCGACTCAATTCGAGCCCAAATGAGCCCAAATCAAGGACCCGAAGCGCAGTTGGAAGCTTCGTACCACTATTTGAGTTACCAAACGGTTTCCAAATATGACGAGCTTATAGTCGAATCGAGCGGCTCGATTAGACGAATCCAACGAGCCCAAGATCAATGAATTCTGAAATCATTAAGGCCTCCAAATGCCTGGCGAATTGTCCATGATCAAGGGATTTAATATCGGCCGTCCATCCAACCACTCCCCATTTACCCTTGATCTCTCAACTATTTACGGGCCATGCCACTCCTAAAATCTATAAATAGACCCCTCATTTCTCTTGAAAAGGGACCCAAGCAAGAGAGAGAAGAAGAGAAGAAGAGAAGGAAGAAGCTCCTCATCGACCACCGTTAGAGTTTCACATTACCGCCGGAGTCTCGCCGGACCACCGCCTGAGCTTCGCCGGACCACCACCTGAGGCCCTCACTTTCGCCGGACCACTACCTGAGGCCCTCACCTTCGCCGGACCACCACCTGAGGCCCTTACCTTCGTCGGACCATCACCTGAGGCCCTCGTCTTTGCCGAACCACCGCCTGAGGCCCTCACCTTCGCCGGACCACCACCTGAGGCCCTTACCTTCATCAGACCATCACCTGAGGCCCTCGCCTTTGCCGGACCACCGCCTGAGGTCCTCACCTTCGCCGGACCACCGCCAGAGGCCTTCGCCTTCGCCAGATCATCACCTAAGGCCCGGAGTTTTGCCAGACCATCATCTGAGGCCCGAAGTTCTGTCAAACCATCACCTGACACCCGGATTTCTATCATACAAATGTTACTTGTAATCTGATCGCCTTTGGAGGCGAGTCAGCCCATTGTAACCGACTCAAATTCTAGTGGAATCATTTTCGATTGGGCTAGGCCCCGTGGTTTCTCCCCTTTCAAGGGTTTTCCACGTAAAAAATCTTGTGTTCTCTGTGTGTGAGCTGGATATCCGTGCAAAGCTAAGACCTATAATTAAAACTCTATCGTCACATATATCCTAGCCCTCAACAATTCCTAAACCTGATACACCTTCAAACAAACAATGAACAGCCTTAAGGATAAGAATTGGCTTATGATTGGCCCTGCAACAGACCAAAAGTATAATCAACAACTTAGAATATAAAGATAGAAGTGAAATTTCTCTAACACTGCAACCTTAAAATCAGCAAGCTGTAAAGTTATGGGAGTGCTCAAACAGAATACTCTTGAACCTTCAAAATTGTCAGTTGTTTACCAAGAGAAACGAATTCAGCTTTTCTTTCAATTAACCAAAATGTTTAATTATTTGTTGCTTTTTCGAGGCTAATGCTCATACATTTTTTTCTTCCAGAAGAACGAAAATTTGTCCACCAGTACTTGGTTATCATCTCTTTGAACCGATATTTGAGGAACAAGCTCTCTTGTTAAATCTGAATATATGAGCTTTAGGAAAGGAAGACAGATCACAGTTGGGGAAATGATGAAGAACTGATGAAGCTTCTTAGCAAAGCTCTCCTCAAGAATAGACAAACTATCAAGTTTTCTATCAAGAGGGATATCAATAATATCGATTAAAGTGGCAAACAAGACCAAGAAATTCAAAAGAAGAAAGTCTAAATGACACCGGACGGGATGGGAGAAATGACAACGGGAAGAAATGCGAGCTGCAGGAACTCACAGCCCATACATAACCCAAGGGCATGCTTCTTGGGAGGGTATCACCAGCTGAAAATAATCAGGATACAAAACCCAGAAATAGAGTAAAAACTCAAATCAGTTCACACAATTTTAACTCAGTTCTTTGTCAATCCAAATAAAACATGGGCTAGACTAATTAGATGACTGGTTCATGATCCCATCGATTGCTTGGCCGTTTTGATCTTAGTTTTAAAACCATACATATAATACATAGAACACAGGGTTACTTCCACTTTGTCCCTGCAGAACAAATTTCATTTCAAATTTGAATTTAGCTGAATTGAAATAGAAAATATATCAATGGAGAAGTAAAAAATTTGGAATCCCTTTCAAAAATAATACCACATGAAGAACCGAATCAAACCAGGTGATCCACAACAGATGAAGACCAAATATTAACTTTCTTGTAACTAAATGTTCTGAAGGTCAAGAGAGAGATACCATCTTCAACAATTTTGCTGTTAATCTCATGCCCTGAGCCTCTGGCATTCCAAGAACCATTTTCATATGATGTAAGAGAAGTAGCACAATCCAAAAACAAAGCAAACAATCTACTTATTCTACCAACAATCTTAAGCGAAAGCAAGCGATTACAGATAATTAAGGGAACCATTTTAAACTGAATTAGAATCAGGAGGTTGGGAGATATACCTTTTAGAACAAGAAGCTTGAGCTACAGATCTAGAGGTCCAATCAGATGCTGGTACTGAAGAATCAAGGGAACCCTACTTGAGCTGTTTTATATGAGGGGCTGTTTGGTAGCAGGATTTAGGCCAGATTTGAGGCGGATTTGAGCGAAATCCAGCCAAACGGCCTAAAATGCAAAACCAAATCTCACTGCAAATGAAAGCCATTGTAGACTGAAAATTCCGTCTTTCAGTGCTAAATCCCAGGTTTTTGAAATCCTGTTTTTTGCGGGATTTACGAAATCCATTGGTTCCAGAGGAACAGTCGCTCGTTAAATACGCTCTATAGCCAAATAGTCATATGTGATTTAATAGGATTTATCATAAATACTACCTTACAGTTTTCAGGATTTAGGCCCCTCATGATTTCCGAAATCCGGAGTTAGTGGACTTATGGAATCCTACTTAAATCAAATCTAGGTGCTACCAAACAGCCCCTAAGTTTCTAAGATTCAGATTTCTAACTTACGGCAAATTTCAGTAGATTTAAGAATGATTCATAATGAATTAACATAAATCAAGCCTGTGATCTTTAAAAACTCCAAATTCTCAACTGGCTAAAGCAAAAGTGCAAAACCATAGGAAAACTTCAGCATGTTTAGGAATTGATCTCTATATACTCTAAAAGTTCACCTTCTGCTCTAAAATCTGAAAGTCTAAGGTGCTCTGCTATGCAATTTGAATTCGAATTCAGAAGCTTTTGTTATGACTTCTATCTGTTCTGTCTTCCTCTTCCACACTGGAAACATGTCTAGCTCCTTTTCCTTATATCACTGAGCTTCCTATTTTCCCGAATGGTTTTTCAGTTTGTTTAATTCACTCTTTTCTTCACTATAAATCATTAAACGTATAAGCTTTCTTACATATATACTTGGTTATAGTGTATCCAGGTTCATAAATATAAACAAAAAGTGAACAGAAAATTCAAGTCTTTGCTCGCTTAAGCAGGTATTCTTTTTGTACTAATTACATAAAATGATTGGATACAAAGAAGAAATCCAACATCTTGATTTCTTCTCTCCATTTTCAGAGTAACTAAACGTAATTCACCCTATAAACCTCATATACTTTTCTTTCTGTACAATAAGAAATTTTTTCCTATTGACAATAGGAGAAATTATCACGTGTGTTTCACGTTTTAAAGATAGTTAAGATTTTCTCAAAACAAATAGAATAATCATAAGTTCACTCTAATTAAATTTAAATTATGATATTCCAACTCAGATTTGTTTTCCTATATATCGCACAATCAAATGATTTTGATGCGCTCTGTACTGCCTGAGGAGATTCTGAAACGATTTTTCCCCTACTAAGGCTATCTAGCTAACTTCTCTGGCTGACGTTACTACTTCCGCCCACCGGAGACAAAGCATCAGCCCACGAACCTCTGACCACTGGCATCCTGCCGCCGCCGCCTTGGCAACGTCGCCTCTTTGTAGATCTCTGAACCTCATCGCAGCTCACGTTAACCTTGAGAAGAACACCAAATAGCTTGAAAGAAGTCTCTTTTTCCCCTTCATCCACCTCCTCCTCCTCCTCGCTAACTACTTCTTCCCCTTCGTCGAACTCTACCGACCTATTTCTTAGAAGGCCGAGGTCTAGCTGGCCGACGTCGACGTACTTGGAAAGAAAACCGAGGAGCTCATCGCAGTGCCGCTTTGCCTGCGCAAGTTCTGAGTTCAGGATTTTGTTCTCTCTCCGAAGCTTCTCGTTTTCGCTGGAGAGATTCAGAAGGCGTGGCGAAGGCGGCGGTGGCGAGGAGGCGGAGGAAGAGCTGTGGATCTCGGTGGAGTGCTGACCGGAGTTAGAAGATGGAGGAGGTTGTCTGTTGGATGAGGATTTTCGACGGCGAATGAAGGAGAGGAGCGTTTGCTCTCCTTGCCGGAAATTGTCGTTGGCGAACTCCCACCGATCAGCTACCACCTTGCGGAAACCCTGCTTTCGTCAAACACCGATGGTTACTTTTTTAGTTTACGTAATATTTAAAAGTATAATTAAATACTAAGTGGCTGTTTGGGATTATTTTTATTTTTATTTTACATACATATCACTTTATATCATTTTATACTATTCTATTTACATATCTAACATCTAAAATTTTAATATTACATATATACCACTCTATATTATTTTAATATCAAATATGCCACTTATATTTCATTACAACCACTCATATATTTCATTTTGATCATTCATATTTGATATGAAAATAAATTAAGAATAGTGTGTATGTAATATTAAAACTTTAAGTATTAAATATGTAAATAATCAAAGTTTCCTATCAATAGGCCAATGCTAGCTGCATGTGATAATTAGGGAAGCGTTGATTTGGCCTTCCAATGAAGTTTATTAATGGAAGGGTATGGAGCTACAAGATGTGAAGTGCTTTGGAGTTCATATTTTTTAAACTATCAAAATAATTAAAAAATTATTTTTGTGTGCTTTTAATAACAATATTTTACAAATGTTTGGGACGATTAATAACAAGTTGGCTTGCATACTCTTAGGCTCTGCTTGGGACGATTTTATTTATACTTTTTAAAGTAACTTTTTAATACAAAAATTAAAAATTTTATACTAAAAAGTTATTTTAAGAACCAATAAGAAAGTCGTCCAAAACAAAGCCTTAAGCTTTAATCATATTTTTTTAATTATTAGGTTTTTAAATGATATTTTAATCTATAATTGTATATTTTTTTAGAGTCAATATTTTTAAAAATTGAAAACACCTAAATTTTTTTTTAAGAACCTATAAAAACAAGTCAAAAAAAAAACATCACTATATATTTCTGTAATAATTTAAAATAAAGAAAAAATAGTGAGGCAATTTTGATTAAAAATTAGATTATATAAGAGTATAAATGATTATATTTCGGATAGAATTAAGTCACTCAAAGAAAAAATAGTCAAACTCACAATAAAATATCAATTTATACGTGAACTCGAATTTTCAAACACTCTTGATTGATAGTCAAAGCTCTTCTACAATAGATACGATGAACTGGCATTTATCAAAGTTTAGAATCAAAATTTCACCTAATTGCAATGTAACATAGCATATCCATAGTCAACAGTTGATAATAAATAACATAATATTACTACCCTTATATCACAACAAATCAAAGGTCAAAGTTGTAGGCATTCCAAACATCGTATAACTACACGCTAATAATATTAGTATAAATACATAAGAGAATTAATTATAATATTATTAAAAGTTTATTTGAGACAAGTTTTTTAATACTTTGCTTTTCAATATAATCTAAGTTCATTTTTTTAATGCATAATATTTTTTTATGCCGCTCTTATAAAGTTTTTGACAGTAGTAAGACTGATGTTCAAAGTCTTAGTTGCTAATTGCATAACTTAAAAAAGACTACCTATTATGATATGTACTTATTTATTGCTTTAGCCATGTGAATCATACGTTTTAAACAATAATTATCTCTATATCATTTTAATCTCCAAGATTTGAATAGGCTCATTATCAGATTCGTTATCTATCCAAGATATGATTAGATTTTAGGTATGTAGGGAAGTCCAAACAAAATTGTAAGTGAAGTTGCTAGTTAATAAAAAATTAGTTAGATTTACATAATACTTTGTTGAGAATTCATTAATATGCGAAGCATATTTATGATTAATAACTGATATTATATAATTGTCGTAATGCTTATAAATCAATTTATATTTTGAAAGAGTAAATAAAGATAGTTTCTATAATTAGAGTCGATATCCATTTCAACCTAGAGAACTATTATTGCAAAGATAGTAAATAACCAATATATTGAATGATCTGTTGAGCTATTAGCCATTTTGTAAATAAAAAAAATAATACAAACAAATGTGAAGATTGATAGGCAACACTCTAATGAGCAAAAATATCTATATATGTACCAAGAGAAAAGAACAATATGGGAAGTCTATTTCGCATAAATCCCAAGATCATATAATGTATAGTGTACATATATAGATATTTTTGAGTGAGTAATATTGAGGAGAGGTATAAGTATACTAATTATGCTCTTTATTTTAGAAATTGCGCATATTATAGTAAATAAGTATTTTAAATTATAAAAGATTGATCATTAAAAGAAGGAGAAGACTAATACATTTTTGAGAATAAGTGTCTATTATGGACACTTATAGAGAGAGTAAGGAAGATCTACATATCGTTTGTGTTTAAACACAATGCATGCATGTGCATGCTTTGACCAAATATTTTTTATTTCAGTTGGATTACAACAAGGATCATAGCCCATATTCTTTTTTTCTTTATCCATGGTGAAATATCAGAGTGAAATAAGAAGGATTTACATATTGATACTTATTGAATTAGATAAAAAACATATGAGTAAAGGTTCAAAGAGAAGTGCTATGGAGAGTTAATTTTAGAAAAGAAAGGATTTACATATGCTATGGAGAAGTGCTTTGGGCGATTAAAGTCATTAAATAAGAAAACATGTTATTTAGTAGAATTCATGTTGGTTGGTTAAAACTGGAGAAAATACATCAAACCTGTTGTGTGATAGAAAAGGACCATTATAACCTGTAGGTTAAAATTCTGTAAATGATGGTGAGACTCTGTAATGCTTTATTGTCACATAATGTTGCCATGTAAAAGAGAAGTAAAAATTAAGTTGAGTATTGTAGAGATGAGTGATGCATAAAAGTGGTTGAGTGTCCTTTTACTCTTAGAGACAATCTAAATGGGACATGCTTCAGGCTATTGTGTGAATATTTAGTGGAGGAATGTTTAATGGCCTATTGTGTGATGATATAAAAGTATTGCAGAGATGAGGATGCTGCATGTATGTGAAATGAGTTGTCCTTTACTCTTAAGAGACTGCAATGATCAATAAATTTTTTTAACAAGCACCCTATCTTTTTACATCTCCTATATTAATCAATTTTAGATCTACTTAATCGCGTATCCATTACTTAAATTTGCTCTTAATATGTAGGTTATGGTATAATTAGAAATCAAAGAAGTTGGATGTATAACCGATTATCTAAGGTCGGAAGAACATTAACCATTGAAGTTCATTATGGGCGTGAACTTTTCATTCAGCAAGCGAAGCGACTACCCCGCTTTTTTCAGAGGAAGTTAGATGCCATGCTCATACCATCCTAGTGCACCTAGAACCAAATGATAGTAATTGTTGATCTGTATCGCAGAGGATTCATGCCACGGTATTCGGTATTGGACTTGTCATGGTGAAGCTATGAGCCACAATTCTGATTATCAATTATTTATTGGCGGTCCTTCTACAAGTAGTAATATGCTGAGGATGCATATTCGACCAAATCTTATGAGGAATTGGTTCAATGATCAACTGGAATACAAATTGAACAAAAATACATAAGAGTTACCGAATACGGAGGCAACAAAATTTTTATGATTTATTACATGCTGCCCAGCAACCCATTTGGAAAGGGTGCACGACTCACTCAGAATATCTGTTGGCTGGAGATGTTAAGCATCAAGGCAGATAATATGTTGCTCGTGAATAGTTTTATCAAAATTCATTGGGCTTCTTAAGGAAACCAATCCTGACAGATAATTTAATTCCTAGCAGATCTATATCGGACAAAGAAGTTAGTTTCCAACTTTGGTTTGACATACACAAAGATAGATTGTTGTGTGAATGGATAGCTGTATCTTTGATATCTCGAAATTACATGCCGTCATTGCTCAATTTAATCAAAAATCTAGAAAATAGAAAGAAGCAGAAGGATGTGTCTGTAGTAGGATGTTTCTAACTTTCCAATAATTTCCGAGACTAACAACAGACATATATGCATCCAAGAATCTGCTGCACATATGAGATGGCATAATATATATCACAGTTTATCAACACATCCATCCAGAAGGCAGAGGCTTGAGGCACTTTGATTGTATACCACATCGCGCAGAACCAAGAAATGTCAATTAGGTTTATGCGCAGATAGTTTTTACTTCATTCAAGTCGTCGGCTAAACCGTACTCTCCGTTGGGCTGTGTACACACACTCCTTATAATCTTCCTCCAGAGTTATGTATGACTACTCATTATATATTTTCTGTCTTATTCCAAGGCCATATGATCCAAATTGAAGATGACGTAATTCTTATAACCATTTGATTGATGATTTTAGTTTAATTATGGGAAAGGGAGTAAGTATATATGAATATCTGCCCATCAAATAGTAAATTTTACACGAGCGGGCATTACTTTTGGACATTGGTGACTTTCCGTGCCATATAGTATGCCTCTCGGTTGGAACACTTTCAGGCAAAGTTTAGCTTTGTCCATATTAGTATGGAAATACAAAATCATCACTTTAAAGTATGGAGGAGAACTTATGGTTTTTGTCATCGAAATATTTTTGGCCTCAAAGTCATCCTTTCAGGGTGAAATAACGAAGCGTTTACTAAAAATAAAATGGTGATGTTCAGCCTCCTCCAGATTCAGTATAAAAATTTTGAGGTAGGTTCTTGGCCCACATAATGGATCTCATAGTAGCTGAGTTCAGATTGTCCAGATGGTGCCAACTAATTGACCCAAGAAAAGTATATTTTGGTCATTCTATATTGGAGAACAAACTTTATTAACATAATTTGGATGTTAACATATAGAGAAAAATATTTTTGGATAATATTTTTTATACATTTATGAATATCAAAGAGAAATCGAAAGAATAATAATAAAAGTAAGGATGGACCTTAAACGGGATTTGTAGAAGAAAATTCTTGGATTGAAGAATGAATGGAGCGGGAAAATTTCCTCAAACCAAAAAGCTCTATTCACATTAACTTTTAGAGCAAAAACAAGGCAATTTGTGAATGGGTGAAGACTCTACGAGTACTGATGGAATATTCTTCCAATCTAAGCAGGTGTGTGAAATAAGATCAGGGAGATTATTCGGATTGAAAAAGTCATGATTGTCACATCT